TTTTGAGCATTCTATTACATAAGAATGCAGAATCAACGTTCAATTATTAAACATTTGCTATCTTCTTTTCTTTTTCAGAAGATGAATAATCTTTCCTTTAGTGAGCTTTGTTGCCTCTTCTGCTGTCCACCTTGTCCAGGGAAGATTGCTTCAAAATTAGCATTTTTACCACCTGATCCAACTTACACACTGATGTGTGATGAAAGTGGAAGCCGCTGGACTTTACATCTATCAGAACGAGCAGACTGGCAGTACTCTTCTAGAGAAAAAGATGCCATTGAATGTTTCATGACTAGAACCAGTAAAGGCAATAGGATTGCCTGTATGTTTGTGCGTTGCTCACCCAATGCTAAATATACTTTACTCTTCTCACATGGAAATGCTGTTGATCTTGGTCAGATGAGCAGCTTTTACATAGGACTGGGATCACGGATTAATTGTAATATATTTTCTTATGATTATTCTGGATATGGTGCAAGTTCTGGGAAACCAACTGAGAAGAACCTTTACGCAGACATTGAAGCTGCTTGGCTTGCTCTTAGAACAAGGTAACGGTGATTTAGAATTATTTTTCATACTTGTAATGGTTAACTAAAATTGACCTGTATGAAAATGGAATAAAAGCTGTTTTTATAACACATCTGGCAAAGTGCATAAGGCATTTGACTGCTAACCAGAAGGCTGACGGTTCAAACCCACCAGCCACTCCTTGGAAGGAAGGTTAGGCAATCTACGTCCTTAGAGATACTGCTTTGGAAACCCAAGGAGGGGTTGCTGTGAGTTGGGACTGACTCAGTAGCAATGAGTTTTGTTGGTTTCTTAAACTGCTGAATAGAGATTATATTTACCAATATATACCTAAAAAATACTTAAACTTTTAGGTTGCAGTTTTAAATTTTGTATGTTGTTGTTGTTGTTGTTATGCACATCAGAGCAAAAAAAATTTTTTAAACAATTTAGATTTGTGTATCTGTGTTAATGCATGTGCATGTGTGGTGTTTTGGCTTTTAATTTAAATCCAATGATAAAAGTTTGGTTTTATAAACTTTTATTGTTGAAGTATGACATAAAATTGTTTACTCGAAGTTGCAACATTGCAGATAAATGAAAGAAAATAATGATTTAGCTAAGTGTTCATTTGATCTGTAATAGTGTAGGAAGTTATCTCTTGGAAGGTGCTCTTTAAAGATACCTTATTGAAATTATTTTAAAATTACTCATTTGGTAAAAATGAGATGTTACTTTGCATTCTACATGTCTACAATATGGAGAGATAATGTCATTTTTAATAAAAAGAGGTAAGGTTATAATAAATTAAGTAAATTCTGCTAGTAGGTCAATTATTCTTTATTAACAGAATGCATTTTTGGGAAGTTGAACTTGTGTTAATCCTTTCTGGTCACTAAGAAACAAAATTTTCTGGAAAAGTTTGGCATTGTGTAGACTTCAGTATATTTTCTCATGAGTTGATTATAATAAATAGATACCTTAGTATAAGTTATTTCTCATATACATTGGTCATCTGCCTGACTTCTAGAATATTTTAGAGTGAAAGTAGAGGACATAAAGAACACTCACTGTTTCTGATTTAGTGTTTAAATATTAATGATTTCAGTTAGTTAAGGAGAGCCTCCTTAATTTTGTTAGTAGACATAACTTTTCTTAGAAAATGTTTTTTAAACTATTTTCTTTCTCTGAGATACATAATAAGGAGCCCTGGTGGCACAGTTGTTAAGCAGTCGACAGCTAACATAGCCAACCACTCCAGGGAGAAAGATGTGGCAGTCTGCTTCCATAAATATTAACCCACTGCCATCGAGTAGATTCCAAGGCACAGTGACCCTGTAAGAAAGAGTAGAAGTGCCCCATAGGTTTTCCCAGACTGTAAATCTTCACAGAAACAGACTGCCACATCTTTCTCCCGTAGAGCTGCTGGTGGGTTTGAACTGCCAATTTTTGGTTAGCAGTCAAATGCTTCAATCACTGTGCCATGATGCCTTCCCATCAAGATTACAGCCTTGGAAATCCTTGGGGGCATTTCTACCGTTTGGGTCACTATGTTGGAACTGACCCAACAGTAGAGGGATAAAGATACATAATGAAATTATACTCTCATAGCAAATTCCTATACAAAGGAGATTATTAAATCAATTGAAAGGATATGAAAAATAATTCTGAGAAGTAAGAAAAAATAGATAGTAATAGGTAAAGAGTGCACTGGAATGGAAGAGTGATAAAAATTATTCTTTGGTTTATAAACTTATAAACCACTTTAAATGAACAAAGTCAAAATCTGTTTTCAGGTATATTGATGTCATTCCATTCAGGCTTTAAAAAGAGTCTCCACTTTTCAGTCAGCCAGCTGAATGTAGTGTAATAGCTATCAGAAAAGTGTGGGAGTTTCTTTTAATTTCTTTTTTAAATAACAGCTTATTGAGAAAGAATTCACATACCATAAAGTTCACCCTTTTATGTTACACACTTCAGTGGATTAGTATGATTTTAAAGGGTGCTAAATTAAAGCAGATAGGTTTTATTATTACTGCTTTTAGTTAGATAAATGGATAACTGTATTCAAACAAAACAAACATATTAATATCCAGCGCAGTGGTTTCATGACAGTATAAAAAAATTATCTTTCAAATGATCAGCTTTATTACTTTTTCTTATTTTATCTTGTCAGATAACAATTTGAAGGAAAGTTTCTAAAATGATTTCCAATTTTGATTAATTCCTTGTTTAACACATTTGATGGAACAGTGCTACCATGTTTTATGCAAACAGTAATTTGCTCTTGACTAAAACTGTACATGTATTTTATTCATTCCCTACCGTAACTATTTTTGTAGCATTTTCAGAAATACTTAGTAATTTCAGAAGATTGAATTGCCACCGACCTTTGAAGAAATAACGAACTTCTGTTATATTGAATATAAAGTAAACATTAAACATCCATTAAACATCAACACTTTAAGGTGTCAGTGATAAAATGTGTTCTAAACTTAGCCAACAGTAGGTTAAATTATATAGCTTAAATAATTTAATGTATTCATTTCTTAAGGTTGAAATTTTAGAAAACCTCCAGTTATTTTTCTAAAAGGCAAGATTGAAACAGAAAGGTGAAATTGTAGATCTTACTTTAGCATTGAATATAATAGTGATTGTTAAGAAACTTACATCTTAAATAAGAAGTTAGTTGACATTCTCTCACTCTAAGTCATTCTATTATAAATTCTAAATTCTACTCCTTAGGAATGATTGAACATTTCATACCAGCCCAATTTTTTTTTTTTTTTTTTTGAAACCTTGAACTTTGTAGATACGGCATTCGTCCTGAAAATGTGATTATATATGGTCAGAGTATAGGCACAGTACCATCTGTGGATCTTGCTGCTCGGTACGAGAGTGCTGCTGTTATTCTTCATTCTCCTTTGACCTCAGGAATGCGAGTTGCTTTTCCTGATACCAAGAAGACCTACTGTTTTGATGCATTCCCTAAGTAAGTAACAATATTCAAAATAGTATAATTCCAAGAAACTATTTAAGAGATTTTTCCCCCCATCACTGGAAGTATTCATGACACTGTCCACTCAGCCATGAGCTTTAACTTTCATGTATTATAGAAATTGCAAAAAATTAATTCATAGAGTGAGATGACAAGAGACCAGTCAGGAGGCTGAAATGTTTGTTGTTGTTGTTGTTATGTGCCGTCGAGTCATTCCCAACTCATAGCGACCCCTCCTTGGGGTTCCGAGGCAGTATCACTACGGAAGTAGGATTGCCCAACCTTCCTTCCGAGGAGTGGCTGGTGGGTTTGAACCGCCATCCTTCTGGAAATGTTTGAGCAATAATAATCCAGTAAAAAGTGCTGAGTGTCTTATATTGACACTAGCATTAGAGATAAGAATGAATTTGTTAAATAAAATCAGCAAAACTGAATGCCAGTCTGGATGTAGGATGCCGAAGAGTAGACTTGAATAGGACTCCCAGATTTCTGACTTGAGCTGTTAATGGAGGATGGTCGGTCCCATTGAGTGAAACACACAATACTGGAGGAGAGGAACAAGTAGAGGCAAGTGTGTGAGGGATGAGTGAAGATACCTGATTAATGATATCTAATTTACAGAAGTAAATTGCAAAAAAGTTGTCTTAAATGAATAAGTATTGCCCCCACAAAGTCTACAAACATACAGTATTAGATAGATTTGACAAGAAGACTACTTCTCCTTCATGCTTCTTAAGATAGGGTAGTAGTTCCCACCTGCCCCCTTCATAATTGAAAAATATCAATGGTCTATTCTTCTTAAGAAAGAAAGAAGGCAAGAAAGGAGAAACTGGCAAATTTTAGTCCTAATTCGTTTCTCCAATTGGCAGCTTTACAGGGATATATATGTGTGTGTGTGTGTGTGTGTGTGTGTGTATATATATATATATTTGGTAAATGATAGATAAACCCAAGACATCACTTGGTTCTTTTATAAGAAAGGAAAGGTCATTTTGAAAAATGTTTCTTCATCATTAGCCAGTGAAGGTTACTTTAGTGGGAAAGCTTATGTGGGAGCATATAATCTTATCACTAGAATAGGAGGTTTCAGGTTTTGTCTTTTGTGTTTTTGTCTTAAAAATGGTAGAGTGGAAGGTATGTGAACTGCTGTGTCCAGCTGAGTGGTAGGAGTGACAGGGAGGAATTCGAGGTGATGCTGTTGCCATTTCTATCTGTGTGTCTCTACCTTTTCCATTTCTGACCCACCATTAGAGAAACAGCACTAACAAATTATTTGAGATCATGCTTTATTTTAATATGTTTTAATTTCTCTGTTGTTGAATATCTTTCTGACAGCAAATGATAGACAATCCTTTTTTTCTTACCAAATGCAGCCTTTAATTATTTCATTAATGGTTTCTTCCTTTCCATTTTCTGTTTTAACTTTGTGAAACTCCCATGATTTGGATATGTAGGGCCATTTCAATGGCAGTATGCTATCTTTATCTTTTCTCTTTATTTTTAGCCTTTTTGCTGTACTTTCTGAGGGAGTTTGTCAACTTTCTTGTTGAGAGTTCAGTTAGGTTTTTCATTTCTCATTTAATGGTTGCTCGCTCATTTGATGCTTGTATGACTTGTTTCTCTCAAGGATTTTTAAAGTGAGTTTTGTTTGTTTTTGAGGGTTCTTCTTCACATAGTTTCTGTTCCTCCAAGTTCTATTTTTAAAATTCTATTTGTTTTGATCTGTATTATATTCAAAGTGTTTTTCTCTGAGTCTGATAGTTCTTGGTTATTTGTTCATATGAAAGAGTGAGTGACTGAAGAACTGATCTGAACAATTGACTAGGGCTTGTTGCTTGTGAGCTTCACTATAGGGTAATCTGGCCAAGCCAGTGAGTTGGGAAACCCCACCTCCAATGTCATTATTTATAAATCTTTCCTTTCAAGGTAGGTACAATCTCCAAAGAAGACTTTTTCTAAAATCCCTATTGGAGGATGAAAGACTGACTGCCAGCATTTTGGAAGCTAAGTGGGGAAGTGGGTTCATAGCAGCCAGTGTGTATGTGTTTGCTTGATCTCTGATACCTCTGCCTAAAACTGTGTCTGGTAATTCCTTAGCCCACAAACCCTCCAGTCTTCTGCCTTGAGGGAGGGCAGTTACCCAGCTACATGAACAGGTTAAGGGACCTGGAGGAGGGGGCCCTAAATAGATTTTGAACATATCCTATATATTTCCCCCATCATCTTCATATCAGTTCCTTTGCCTTCTGGGATATTCTGTGGTATTGAGTTGGTTGTTCCTTTGCCTTCTATGCCTTTAGCATTGTGTTTTCTCCTATTCATTTAATCAGTGATCCCACACATCCATCTGCCTTCCAGCTCCAAAATTGTGTTACCTTTTTTTATTTTTGGCCCTAAAACAAACAAACAAACAAAAAATTCTGTCATTTTAATAAGGACTAGCAGGGAAAAAAAAAATATGAGTGCAAAGAGGTATAATGTAAGCACATACTATGAAAATTACACTGAAATGGTCCTTACCTTCCTCCTGTCCATGAAATCTTAAGTTTCTCTGTGAAGAAAAAATATATATATATATTGTACAGAGATATAGTAGGATACAGTAGCTGCTGGGTGATTTTATCATAACAGAGTACAGAAGTTAACTTCCTCAAATAATCATAAAATGTAAGGGGTATGTAAAAGGTGATTTTTGGATCTTGTTTGAAATCCAAGAGGCTTCCATCCCTTCTGAACTGATCTAAAGATGTTCTGATGTTTTAATTCTTTGTTTGAAATGACATAAGAAAATTTCTTTTTTGTTACCTTATATAGGTAATTTATTGATGTTTTTTACCCTTCCGCTTTCCCTACAGTATTGACAAAATCTCTAAGATAACCTCTCCAGTATTAATAATTCATGGGACTGAAGATGAAGTCATTGACTTTTCGCATGGCCTTGCATTGTTTGAGCGTTGCCAAAGACCCGTGGAGCCGCTGTGGGTTGAAGGAGCTGGTCACAATGATGTGGAACTTTATGGACAGTATCTTGAAAGATTAAAACAGTTTGTGTCACAAGAACTGGTAAATTTGTAAAATATTCTGTAAATTGTATACTGGGTTTTCTTTCCTTACTGAACTGCACTCCTTGGTAAATAACCTAAAACCTGAAGGTTTTGTTTACAAATCATATCAGTTGCCTTCATAAATGTACAGGTAATGATTTGTTAACAGACTTCATGATGGTTTTAATTACCAGAACTAGAAACTGGAAATAACAGTATCATGCAGTCAAGCTGTGTAATTTATATTTTTTCTGTGAATTTTTTTTTTAAACATCAAGATGAGTACTGTATGAAATTTTAATTCTATAAAATCAAGTGCTGTAAAAGTATTGCCAAATGCTTTTGCATATCAGAAACAAATTTATAAATATTTTTAAAACATCTCAATGTACTAAATCTTATCCTGGTATACAAATACAATATCATTCTTTAAAGAAAAATAAATAAAGGCTGTATAACTAAAACAATTCAAGTACTCAAAATAGAATAAACTGTTAAAAAAATATATGAGAACATACAATTTCACTAGAATTGACCTCAGCCCTGTTGTACAGGGATAGAGGTTTAAATGGTTATTTTATTGTAAAATATATTGGATTTTCTGTATTCTCTGGTTATCATACATTCTCCTAAAAAGAATAAAATGATGTTAAGTCTTAATTTTTACACCATCTGTTAATTTACCAACTAGTTATCTACCTTGTAAATGAGAAGTCATAATAGCACTGAATTTTAACTCTTGATTTATAAGTTTGGTACTGTGAGGCAACTACTTAAATTTTTCATTTTAGTTATTTAAAAGGCATTTAGAGCTTTCAGAATGATTTTGTATGTACTGTTGTTTTAAACTCTGACTAACCTTGTAGGATTACAGTACTCTGAAAACCTGAAAGTCCACTAGTTGTTCTTCAGGACCACAAACAGACTGGCTATTTGGTCCCTTTTCAGGTTCATTTTTGACTGTTTTTAAAAGTAGGACCTATTGTTTTGGATTAATATCTGAAAATTTCATGGATTCACTCCTGGATACAGGAGATAAGAAAACATTTAATTCATACTTTTATATTAACCAATATAGTAAAAATCAAATAAAATAAAGCTCATACACACACAAAAAAAAACTAAGATGCCTTTCCTGAAATGAATCTGCCTGAATAAAACAATGAAAGAAAAATAAAAATAAATTAATGGTATGTAGTCTAATTTGTAAATGAATGAATATTGAAATAATACACACTGTGGATATATTTTAAGGCCTTATGTAGTTTTAATTGTTCTGCTTGTTCTGTGGTTATGTCTAAAGACTATAGTAGATTCTCTTCAAAGTATATCAAATAATGTGAATGCTTTGGTTCAGATGTGTCAAATTAACAGTAAAAAAAAAAAAAAAAAAGGAAAAAGAAAAAAATACATATACCATTCAGCTGTGCTTGTTTGCCTTCTTCTATGCTCCCTACCTTCCACCAGGGCTTCCAGCCACTTCATTCCAGCTCAACCCCTGCTGAGAATGTGCATTTCTACCCCAGATAAATATACTGAATCAGAATCTACATCATTCTCAGCAGGGGGTCAAACCAGAATGAACCATTTTGAAGCCCTGCCCTCCACCAAAAAGAATGAAAAAAATTACCATTCTTTATAGAACATAATTCTGCAGTTTTCTGAATTTTACTACTACTCTTTGGAAGGGTTTTTCCTTCTCCATATTATCTTGGTGCCTATAAGTTTTCTACTTTTTACAATATACAAACCAGGATTTAGTTAAATCGTGTCTTTGATTACCTGGGAAATCTAAATTATTGGTCATACAATTCACCATTCATTCAGCAAATATGTATTGAATGTTCAAATCACACTAAACCCTATGCTAGGGTTAAAAGGAAGAAAGAAGATCTACATAGACCATGTCCTCATAGACTTTAAAGTGTAGTTGGGAGACATATGCCTCATTGCACAAGTGTTTACTGCGATTTTGACAAGGGCTGAAGGAGATTTGTAAGATATTTTAACAGGTGAGAGGTGCTTTTGGGAGGAGAACATAGGAGATAGCACAAGGAAGAGTCCCATGAAGAAGAGGTATTTGAATGGATCTTGGAAGGATGACTAAGAATTGACTACACATGGGTGGCCCAAAGGAAATGTTATCGGCTGAGAGAGACAATATATGGAAGCCTGGGGGAAAGATAAGGAGCGCTGGTGGTATATTAGTTAAGGCATTTGGCTCCTAATCAAAAGGTCAGTGGTTCAAACCCATGAGCCACTCCATGGAAGAAAGAAGGGGCAGTCTGCTTCCATAAAACTTGACAGTCTTAGAAACCCAGTGGGATCGCTATGAGTCAGAATTGACTCAATGACAGTGAGTTTCAGAGGAAGGATAAGGAGCTCTGGTGGCACAGTGGTTAAAGCATTTGGCTGCTAACCAAAAGGTCAGCAGTTCAAACCCATCAGCCACTCTGTGGAAGAAAAATGAGGCACTCTACTTCCATAAAGGTTTACAACCTTGGAAACTCTATTGGGCAGTTCTACTCTGTCCCATAAGGTCACTATGAGTTGGAATTGACTTGATGGCAGTGGGATTAGTTTGGTTTGGTTTAGAGGTGAGCTGACATATTGAAATATAAGAAGGCTGGCCCAGAGGTCAAGGGGAAGGATGGTGTGAGGATGAGGCTGACAAGCTAGTTAGGGGCATAGTCACAAATGGTAACGTGGGTCCTCATCTTTATAGTTGGGGGAAAAACGTGGAGATTTTAGCTTGTTAGAAATAGCCGGTGCGCTGTTAAGAAACTGATATAATCTCTGGGGGCCAAAAACTACATCATAGGGAAGTAGTCTCAGTATACAAAGTGCTGGTCAAACCACATCTCCAATGTTGATGTCATTTCAGGATGAAATGAAAAGATACTCACAAATTAGATCGAATCCTGGGGTGTTCCCGAGTTGGAAAGATTCCTCTAAACCGAAACACAAAAGACTAGCTGAAGGAGTATGGGACTAAGGAATGATAGCTGTCTTCGAATATTTGAGAGGCAAGTACAATTTGTTCTTTGACTCTCAGCAGAACTAGGATTATAAACTGAAAATTACAAAATGGCACATTGGAGCTCAATATAAGAATTTATAGCTATTTGTCCACCAAGGAAAGGAGCTGCCTTCTGAAAATTAACGAGTATCTTTCCAGCAGGACGAGATTACCCAATAAGCAAGGTGATGGGGATATGGTACAAAACATGAAACTGTTCACTACAGATTAATTAATAAGCCCATGCTCACGTTATTAAGTACTGTCCCTGTCAGGCACTGTAAATTTGAAAAGAGTTTTTGATTCTGTAGGGGGATGCTATGGGGTTGGGAGAGAGAGAAAAGCCAACCATACCTAGAAGAACATTTGAGATTCAATACAGATTAGTAAGTAAACACAAGTAAGCCCATGTTTACCTTGTTGAATAATGTGATGCTGCTTACCACTGAAGGCAAGCCAGAAGCTGAATGACATGGTGTGGACCCTCAAGAAGAAATTCTAGATTTAAATGGCAAGTTGTACTAGATGTAAGATCCCTTTAAGATGTTATAGTCCATTCAGATTCCCCTCCCTTCTCAGAGCAGCACAGGGCCCACAACATCTAGAAGACAGCGTGATGTAGGACAAAGAATAAAATTGACAATCAAAAATGGGCTCTGAGCTGGCACTGATTAGATCTGTGATCATGAGAAAGTCACTTACTACTAGAAATGAAGAGCTGGAATGGATTGGTTAATCCCTTACATTTCTAACATAATATGAAAATCTCAGCTCCATTCCTATGTAATGGCTTACATCAATTTGTAACCAGTTTTTAACTGGCTAGAATAGCCCCAGTTAACAGGTTTATGTTTTGTGCATAGCAATGTGGTGCAGTTTAGACGGTAACTAGTCCTAGGAAAATGTCCAGCAGTGTACATACCTCCTGCCATATCCTACAAGTTCCCCCAAAAAAAGCCTAGATAAAAGAATGGTGTCATCATCTTCATACTTTTCCAGACTTCCAACTTGGGCAAATTTACTAGTTCTCTGTCCTACCAGTGATTGTGAGGACGGCACAGGACTGGGCAGTGTTTTTTTTCTGGTCTACACGGGGTCGCTATGAGTCAGAACCAACTCAGTGACAACCTAGCAACGACAATCACGTCCTGCCTAAGAATATCTATCTTAGTACTTTATTTTTCTGGCTGTTTACTGTACATTTGTGTTAATTTAAGAAAGCTTGATACATGAAAATGAATTTTGAAAATTGCAAACATGTCAGTTAAATAGTGATGTTCCTGGTTTAGTTAGACATTCATGTAACAAAACTTGATTTAAACACTTTACAAGAACAAGTACTATGGAAAGGCACATAAATTCATAAATCTTAAAAACTTTAGAGATTATGTAGCCTGTTCCCTTCATTCACTGCACAGGTAAAGAAACTCAAAGTAGGGAAATGAATGTCCCAAAGTTGGCAATCTCATTGTCAGAGGTGGTCCTTATGTCCCATTATCTTCTCTTCACCAAATTTCTCTGGACTAATATACCAATGATCCTTTTGAACTCTAATGCACATAAACTGATTTGCTCTCCATATTAGTCTTACTTTTATTTCTTTAATGCTTCCTAGGTTCCTTCAGAATGTTATCAGCTAGTTTATTCATTGAATGGTAAATTGGTAGGTTGTACTTTTGACATTTCTCAAATTAATGATTTGCATATTCTAGTGGCACTAGTGAATTGTCACTAATTCATTATAGATGAGCTTTTAGCTTTTGCTTTGTATTAAAATATACAATGTATTTAAATACTGTGAAAGCATGTTGCCTTCTAGTACTAAGTAATGTACTTCTCCCAAATGTCCAGTAACCAAAACAATGTAACAATTTGTGTATATGATATTTGGAATTGTGTTCTGAGTTACAGTGTACAGACTAGCGTGTAATGAGAGAAGGCAGTTATCTACCACCACATATCTAAGTGGATTATATCTATGATTACATTTTTGAATGAGTAAATGCTAAGGAAGGAAGCAAACATCTCTACCCTTGAAATGACCCGTATTACAGTTTAAAAAAAAAAAATCAGGAACGAAAGCATAGATGCTACAAATGTGAGCTGAAAGCTGGTAAACTACAGCTGGTTCTTTCATGTGAAGCCAGATGGAACTGAAAATACTTTAACCCCACTATTTCCTTTTGTAGGCCTTATACTGAACTTGCATAGCACAATTATAACACTTTAGAAAAATTTTTCAGTATCTATGCTATAAAAAATGATATTTCAATATTAGAAAAATAAGAGAGATGGCTGTTTTTAAGTATTTCATGGTAGAGATATAAAGTCTTCACTTCCAGCAAATAAGGTGGTGTCATCAGCATTTCACAGGTTATTAGTGAGTCAAGTTTTTCCCATAGTCCATCTTCTTAGATTATTTGCTCAGCAAACAGATTGAATAAGTATGGTGAAAAGATGCAAACCTGACACACACGTTTCCTGATTTTAAACAAGTATCCCCCTTGTGTTCAAACAACTGCCTCTTGATCTATGCACAGGGTCCTCATAAGCATAATTAAGTGGTCTGGAATTCCCATTCTTTTCTATGTTATCCATAATTTATGATTCACGCAGCTAAATGCCTTTGCATCATCAAAAAACCCAG